GTAGGAAATAAAATTATCTATGTACCACGGGAATTATCAGGTGTTAATACCCACGGGCAATTGGTGTCCCTCGGGCCGAAGGCCCACGGGACACAAACTTTGCCCTAGGGTATTAGCACCCTTATAATTCCCTTGATACATAAATAACTATTATACAGCCTTTAATGATATAAGCTGGTATGTTGTCAGTACCGACAGATTTTTTTGGTTTCCAAACGCATTGACAACCTCAAATGAACCTTCAAATTCGTGTTCCCCTAGAGTCTAGACAGACTTCACTAGGTATTCCAGATCCACGTGTTTTAGAATTGATAAAGGCCCAAAAACTATTAGGGTCCAGATCAGCATTCATTTCTATGTGCCTCTGATAAGCAACCAATTCTTGTTTGGTTTAATATTTAATGGAGTTTCTAAGCTGTTTGCATTCAGGAGATTGCCCATTACTTTTGTGCATCCTATTCTTTAATCTGATCTATAGAGAACCAGTGTGGAAATTTTGGTTTTTTACTAGAGAGGTTTTTAATGGGAACAGTTTTATCAAAGGTACTGTATATTATATCATACGGGTAGGATAAGCAATCATTTGGCTCTGAAATATTTTTTTTTTTTTTTTTTTTTTTTTTTTTTTTACGGATATGCGCACTCGCAAGGAAATGTCCTATCACGCTCGAGAAGCGGCAAGTGCGCGGAAATGTCGGTGTATGTTGGTCTTGAAACGGTTCAGGTTGTAACCTGCAGGGAAAACCGTCGTAGGGAGTTTATTCCACAACGATGCTGTTCTCCAGAGATATGAATTCTGATATAATGAGGTTCTTGGTGCCTCTAGTTTGACAGTAAATTCATGGTTACCGTCTGTTTGACGGGTTCGCCTGGTAGGTGCTACTCTCGGTGGAATCATACGTGCCAACTCTTCAGAGCATTTTCCGTGATAGTACCTGTAGAAGAGAGATAAATCGCCCACCGTTCTGCGATGTTCGAGACCATCCAAGTTACGAGTAAGTGCGGGGTCATTGATCAGCTTGATAGCTCGTTTTTGCACGGTATTCAAAAGCATTAAGGTATGTTTGGGTGCTGCACTCCATATATGTGAGCAGTACTCCATAGTTGGTCGAATCTGGGCTTTGTAGAGTGTCAGCAATTGGCTTGGTGTGTAGAGATGTCTTGTACGAAATAGCACCCCCAGCTTTTGGGAGGCCCTTTTAGCAATATCTGCCACGTGACTGTGCCAAGACATGTTGGTCTCTGCAGTAACCCCCAAGATGTTCAACTGACTCTGTAATGTGACAGCACTTCCAGATAGCATGATGTTTGGCTCACCGGTGCTGGTCTTTTTTGAAAACAGAGCTGCTTGGGTTTTCTGCGCGTTGAACTGTACAAGGTTTTTGTTACCCCAGTCCTCTATTATCTCCAGGTCGTTATTTATCTGCGATATTTGAGTTAGTCTAAGATGATGGAATTCACGTGCGGAAAGACCTGTCGGTGGTATGAGTGAGGAGACTACATTGCCATCGTCTGCAAAGCAATAAAGTGGATTTACTGTATTATCTATGAGGTCATTTATGTAAATCAGAAAAAGAGTTGGCGAAAGGATTGCTCCCTGTGGCACACCAGCATTTATTTGGTAAGAGTTGGAGTTCTGGCCATCCAGTGCAACATAAATGGATCTGTCCTTTAGGTAACTTTCAAACCAAGTGCAAAGTTTCGGCGATAATCCCATTGCTTTGAGCTTGTTGAGCAGATTTTCATGCCAAACTTTGTCGAATGCTTTAGATATATCTAAGGCAATTGTTCTTGTTTCACCCCGCAACTCAATCGCTTTTTGCCATAAGTGAGTGACGTATGTAAGTAAATCGCCAGTTGACCTATATTTTCGAAATCCGTATTGCTTATCGTTGATAATTTTGTACTTTTCCAAGTACTTGGTTAGGTGATTGTTCACAACTCTTTCCATTACTTTTGATATCACCGGAAGTAGAGCAATTGGTCTATAGTTTAACGGATCTGTCTTTTTTCCTTTCTTTGGAATGGGTTGTACTGCGGCAGACTTCCATGATGATGGATATACTCCTTGCCTGTAAGACAAATTGAATAATTTTGCGAAAGTTGGGGTGAGTTCGTTGGCGCAATTTTTGAGTACTATTGCGGGAATGCCATCCGGACCCATTGCTTTGTTTGTATCCAGTATATTAAATATATTATCCCCACTGATCTAAAAAATAAATGGATAAACAATCATACGGCTTGATTGGCAAAATTTGTGCGAAAATTTGGGGTCAATATTCTACGAACAGTTGTGCAACGGAACAGCCTAACGCCTGCGCAGTGTCTTATCTTTCGAGCAACTGTTCTAAATTTTGAAATTCCTTCATTTTCATGGGCCAGATTTTGTGCACGCACAGTACATATATCTACTGCGCACGCTCACAGCTGTCCCAGTCAGTTGTTTTTGTTTAGATTATGACCTCGTAAATTAGCAGCATGAGAAGCGTTCTTTGTTTATCCATTTATTTTTGAGATCAGTGATTATCCCAGGGACTAAGATAGTTAAAAAATCAACTTTGGCAAAGTCATAAGTAAATGAGGGTTTAATATTTTCTGTTTTAAGAATATTTATTAAAATTGAAATATTTAAGGATGGATTATCATCCATGAATTGCCTGCTGCTGCTATCGCAGTCTTCACAAATCAGGGAGCTATCACATTTACTTACTATGACATCGGACATGTTAGTCAATGCCAAATCCAGTTTCCTACCCATATAATTTGTTACGTGATTCAATTGTGAAAGAATTAGGGTCTTGTTAGTGACTGCAAGTTCAATAGGTATATTAAAGTCATATTGTTCTTCCAATAGGAGTCCAAATGATCAAATCAGAAATGTAATAATATATTACATGCGGAGGATGGAAAGTGTTTCATTATTGTCGAGAGATACTATGGTTGACCGAGGTGCGAAGCGCCGAGGTCAACCAATTCTCGAGATAATAATGTGAAAACTTTCCACCGAATTATGTATGCTATTTTATTTTGAACCATTAATTATTGATAAAAATAAAGCAAAAATATGACAAAAATCGAATTTCGACTGACAGTCTCACACATGTCTGACACCGACATTGACATCTTATGAAATTTCAACAATATAAACCACAGATATATAAACCATATAATAGACCATATATAAACACATGTGACATCTACTTCTAAATACAAACATTGCATCTGGATTTGTGTTTAGGTGTGAAAGAACAATTTATCAGGGCCGAAAGTGAGTTCTCCAGGCCGAAAATGACAGGAGAACAGTCACTTTCGCCTGCTTTAAAGTAAACAAAAGGAAAGTGATATTTTCGAACCTTCAAACCAATAAGGAATGTGAAAATTACATAAATGGTTTAAAATAATAGTATATTACATAACGAGGTGGGAAGTGTTTCATTACTGTCGAAAGATTAGTTAGTTAACTGAGACGCGAAGCGTCGAAGTTAACTATAATCTCGAGACAGGAATGAAATTTCCTACCAAGGTTTGCATACTAAATATTTTATTTACAACAATTACAACCATCACAATTTTGACTAGATGCTACTTAAATAAAAATTTAAAAAATTTGTCGACAAGTTCTGACTTGTCTTTACCATGAAATGAGGTCTTACTTTCCACCCGGGTGAAAAGTGAGCACTTTCCACCCGGGAGGAAAGTAAAATTCAAAAAAGTATCACTTTACAACTTTTGAAAGGTCAGAAATGACAACATTACGTATGTGGTTGTAAATAAGTTTCATTATTTACCAATGGTGGGACATAAACACTTCACAGCCACTAATAAATACTCCACCTCCTCTTTGAGTCCCATTATCACAGCTACGATCTTTTCTTGTCACAACATATCTATCGTCGAACAATTCAGAATTTTCGAAAGCATCTGTTAGTCAGGTTTCTGTTAGGAATATTACATCATAGTTTTCTGCTAGAGTGGAAGTAAAACAACGTCCAGTTGTACGCAAGCCTCTAACATTTTGGTAATAAATCTTTAAACCTGTTCGTTCTACTGCAGTAGAATGGCAGCACTTTCTTGTGGAGGGTCCTCCGTCACCGTTGGCACCCTCTTCTTCAATAAAAAACGTGATACTAATGCTCCGTTTGGTCAGAGCTCACGTTTCCAAGCTTCTTGGAAATTATTTTGCCTGATAGTTACCCTCAATGAAGCATAGAGATCAGGATGTTTTGAGGTACGCTCCTTACAAGTTACCTCTGGAAATTTACCCACCAATAATAATTGTTTTAAGTCATCTGGACTGGTATTGGGGGTGGAGTCTAGAAACGTGTAGCGATACGTATTTATATGTCCTCCTGATACATTCGATTTATCTTGGTTCTGGCCAACAACAAACCTCCTGTTTCTGCTCTTCCTTCTTTGCACTGACTGCCAACCATCATTAATTGACTCTGGTCAATATTTTGTAGCTGTCTCATCATGTTAATAGCATGGAATTCATGTATTGCTGTTTTTACTATGTTTTTATTTATAGCACCTCTAGAAGTAGTTTCGTGGTTTTTGTTTACATTTTTTGAGGGTCGATGGGTCGATTGACTGATGGCAGCTGGAATTGTCGCGTCAGTAGTTGCTGTATGAGTTGCTGTCTGTGCATAAGGGGCATACGGTTGTGGAATACGGAGGTCGTTTTTTGATGACGTTTCGGATGGTCCTATTCTAAATGCCGAAGTTTGTCTTTAGCCTTCGACTGTTTTTTATCTTTGTTTTGGCTTTTTAATGTTACCCTTAGGGTTAAGACTAGGGTTAAAATGCAAAGATCTCTGTAAAAATTTATGAAGTAGAAGAACTCAGACAGAACATAACCATACATTCTTCAAAGGAAGAAATTCAAACTATTTCAAAAATAGCTGCTACCAACGCTGCTACTTATTTATACATCAATATCGGTTTTTAGTTTAATTTAGTGGCGAAAAAAATTTGAGCGAGTATTGTAAATATAATTTAAGAGATTCGAGACGAGATTCCATAATGTGAAAATGGATATGACGAGCAGTAGAAGAAGTGTGAACTTCTCGGAAGAAGAAATTGCTGCACTGACTGCATTTGTAGAAACCTACAAGCACATTTTGGAAAATAATAAAACTGATGCAGTTACAACGAAAAAAAAGGATGCTATGTGGGAAATAGCATCTGAATGGGCAGGAGTCTAGATACACTCCACAAACAAGAAAGCAGTTGAGGAAAAAATGGAAGAACATCAAAAAAGCAATAATCTCTTATCTTATTTCTCCGCAATTTCCGCATTTTGCGCATGACAACCGCTAATCTCCAGAGTTACCATACGAGCCAAATGGAGGGGCAGGGTTAAATCACACTCTGGTTTATAAAACGAAGCATCACCCACCTGTCACCGGATCAACTCTCAGGGCAGGGGTAACCTGAGCTTATAAAACCGGACATTATGCCTAATTTCATAAGTGTGATTTTGGTTACGGCAGTGTTTTGGATTGGGCAGATATCGCAAATCCACACTATGTGTCGATTATCGTTAATAAATTTAATCCACGAATCTTTCACTGACACACAAATAACATGGAACTTTTTTTCACACATAAAACACGTGATGTTTTTACTATTTACTATAAAATTGTTGGAACATTTGAAACTAACATTTACATCCGGCACCATCTTGGCTTTATTTTCTACAAAACTTTCAATAATGATGATCTTCTTTGGAGAAATTCTTTTGGATGTTGCCTTTTATATCTAGGTAAAAATTAATATTTCAGTATTGCAGAACTTATGAAAATTCCAGCTCAAAATTGGCTTCAGACCTCATGACTGATTCTGAATGGGTAAATCTTCAAGATTAAATAATGAAAACTTCCTTGTTTGCAATATAGTCATCGTTACTAACAACAATAACAACCTCATAAATCAACAGTATTCAAATTGTTATAAAACACCGCGTAATGTCTTGTGAAGGCAACGAGATATGCATGATATTCGTATGTCGCACCTAATATTGATTTAAAATTCAGCCATCAGTCATAAATTAGATTTATGCAATTTAATCGCTTGTCATTTAATAGGTGATATCTGATGCTAATTATTTTTATTAATGATTTTGTAAGGAAAAGTCTGCTCTGTGCACTTCAAAAAGAGGACGTCAGGAAAATTAAAACATCGGAAAATTAATCCCAAATTGCTGCTAAAAATAGAAGGGTTTTGGAAGAATTTGGGAGACGTCTACATCCAGTGAATGAATAAATGCAACGAAACAATTCACACAAAAATAATCATCTCAAACACCTGTTGTAATCAATTAAAATAAGAATGGAAATAAAACCTATGGTCAATTCTTATCCGAAGTCAAAATTTAAATAATAAAAGTGCCTTGCGCTGGGTCCACACACACACACTGACTGGTGCATTATCATAATTTTAGGAGGCCGCATCTCTTTTAACAACAATCATTTTGCTTTTTATTAGCATAGTTTTACATAAGCGTGGGTCTAATTACCATGCCACGCCGATTTATAAGATACCTATTCAGATTCTCGTTGACTTATTTAAACAAATTACTTATTTAAAATTATGCCATACATTAAGAATCACCCCGTGATCATCACATTTGTAACATTTTGAGCAATTATTTAATAGGTTTCAAATTAATTTATTCAAGAGAAAAAAAAAAACACGTTCTCTTCGATTTGGTATCGATTTCAACAAAGTAGGACCCAAAAACGGAGGTCAACTCTTTCCTACGCCAACCAATACTTTTAATTAGAAACCTGACATTCTGGGGCCCGAGAGCGCGGCTTTGGAATCTTCGACCCATTAAGAACATGCCCATAAATAATCGCATTCTTCCTAAATTTGTTTGTATCTAAATCTCGTTTCACAATTTTTCCTAAAAACGAGAGAGAATTTTTTTGTTTATACACTTGACGACGATTGAAGTGGCTCAAAATATTTGTTGCTGTTTTTTTATTGTTTTGATATTTTATACAAAATACTTTTTGATTGCTTAATTTTGTGTTGTTCTTGAGACATTGTAACGTGCCAAAATTGCTTTTAACTATTTCGCGCTTATTTTCAGTTTTCCATTCAAAATTCCTTTATATATTTAATTTTTTCCTGAATTTATTAGACTTTATTTACATTTTTTCCTTTATAAAAATTAAAGTAATTACAGTAGTTGCAGATCCTGTAATTTTCTAATCTGTGATATTTAAATTCTATTTTCACTTGTGACTACACCATTTCCAAATCCAAGCGGCAGTTAAGGCCAAAGACACAATGACAAATACAAGGTACAAGTGACGAGACAAAAATATAATAACACGTGTTTCAATGCTATAACACAGAATAAATGGACAGTATACAATTTACTTGCCACTCCACGATACAGAATTTCGATTTTTTGGTATTTTGTATCTGTCTCTTGTACCTTGTATTTGTCATTGTATCTTCAGCCTCAATGACATTTCGAATCCAGACCTCAATCCAAACTAATCCAGAGTATTTTTGAGGCAAATAAAACCCATTCCAACAGGTGAGCCATAACCTAATAACGACAGATTTTCTTTGCAAACTTGAACCACAATTTATTTTCTTTGAAATCTATCAAATTCTGCTTTCATTGCACAAATTATTTAAATATTTTTTAGGAGCTATAGTTTTACCTAGTAAAGTGCCTGGCCTTCGCAAGGGTTAAGTTACAAATACAGAGTGCTATAACAGTTTTTCTTTATGGGTTTTACTTACGGCCACAAATTAAAATATACGGCCAGCCCTTTTAAACTAAAGGCTAATAAGGCTATACGTTTAAATGTACGGCAACCTCCATCGGAGCCTACACAGTTGTAAGGCTACCTCTACCAGAGCCTACACCTTTTATTTGGACGTTTTTACCTTCCCAATAAACATTTTTCGCAACTTATAGTAACACCAAGTTTTATACTGGTTATATACAGGTAATAAAAGTATATACGGAAGTTTCGTAGTTTTATAATCCGTACCTTTTGGTGATGTATTTATATAACGGTTTTATATGAGAACTGTAAGTTACAATTATATATAATAAGGTGATATAACTGTTTCCATCACCATTTTATGAAACTTATAGTAACCGTTACCAATGTGTTTATAACAAGTTTATATAGGGTTTGCCATTACCTTATCTATATAACTAAAATACCCGTAGTTATATAGAAGTGTGATTAATCACCCTCATGAAAATTGGTAAATTGTAGTAATGGTCCAACTGTGTTATAAAAGTCTTGGTGATATTGATTATATTAGGTTTCTCCTATAAAACTTCGCAAACTTTAGTAAACAATACCTGGGCTTAACATCATAACCCTATTTTTTAGTTTATAAAATTGCCATCTTCACTCTTCCGCCTTCCTCTAGTAAACAAATATATTGTAACACGAGTTTATTTTTATTTATTATTATTATTCATCATGGCTCATTTAAAAAACTGGAGAAAAAAACAAGACAAAGCTCTTCGTACAGCCGCCTTTTTAGTAGAGGTACCGTGGTATTGTATTGTTTCGCTAAGATCAATAGTATTACCGAATTACTTTGTGAAAATCCAATATTTGACTTATTTTATCAACAATTATACAAAATTAATGGTGACTTCAACAAATTTCGTTGGTCATTATTTCGTCGCAAAATAAAAAACAAACATATGTATATTTGTTGAAAACCTGGCATGAAATTGATTATAATTGGGTATTTTAGGGGCCCCTGCGTTTTTTCGAAGTACTTCCTCAATATTTACTGTAAAAAATCGTTCCCACCTAAATTTTGAGTCACAGAAGAGCCTAAAATTAATTTAACAAACAAAGCCGTATTTTATAATTCGCTCGCTATTTTTATTTTCCAAAGTCCAATCCTCTAACTACTGATTGATAATATATTTCAGAAGTAGAAAAAGGCAATATCATTGTAAATTAAATATGTTCGATAGGGAGAGAAATAAACCTTCGTTTTCTTTATAACTGACAGGTGCCATATTTAGAAAGTTATATAAAGGTTACCACAATATTTCTGTTACTCTAGGTTACATGACCTAAATTTATATAGCGTTACTAAACAAAGGTTTCCGCAACCTTTATAAATGCCCCGTTTAAGCTCTTTAAGGGGTTCATTAGAGTAACAGAAAGGTTTCTGTTACCAAATATATAACTGCAGGTTATTTAGGATAGGTGATATAACATTTACGGTGACTAGTATACAAACCAAAATGTTTATTGGGTTTGTTTGTACGACTTTTTAATGAGCAACTCTCGAATTTGTCGAAATAAAGAAAATTCAAGAGCCGGACATAGAAAAAATATGAAGGTGCTGATCATTTGAAACATTAAACACATTGATGATGGTTTTAATTTTGTAAGATCCTTATCGATATACATATATCGATATGACAAATTTGTATCTATAAGACCTCCTCTACAACCAAGTAGGTACTTTTTTTGCCATTGGGTGATTTTGATGATTTTTTTTTCTGGTAATAGCTGCATAGTAAAATTTCTATAATATCCATGTTCATTATATTCTTCTTCCCATTCATCAAAGGAATTATCAGAATTCTGGCTGTTTGCTTGTCGATGAGTGATGAGTGAAATGATCTTGACGCACAATAAGACAAATCTAGTTTACCATCATACCTTCTGGATAACTTACGACAAAGGATAAAGGTATCCCATATCTTATTATTTGATGTTTATTTATTTATTTACGTATAGAAAAAATATATACATTTGAAGTGGTACAAAGTATAAATATAAAATAATCCAAAAAACTAACCTAAAATAATTCTCTTGGCCCGCGTCTTGTATTTATCTTGAGGTAAACTAAAAAAGTCAAGACCTTTATTGAACTTATTTACATTGGCAGATATTCTATTAACAGGACTGAATAGTAAGTACCTACCAAGTACGACAGTGAGGAATGTGCAGTAAAGATTTACTTCGTGTCCGATAACTTTGAGTGTGTAGATAAAAGTAAGAGTAGTAGTAAGTCATAGCCTGGTCAATACTGAGAATCACACCACTCAGACACAGTTTGCACCTAGCAAACTTGGTAAATTTGTGTTGAACACTCTCAAGCCTATTATTGATGTGGATCTGATAGTAAGGTGACCAAACTGTACAAGAAAATTCAAGAACGGATCTGACCAATGATGAGTAAAGAA